GCTCAGCTCACTGCAACCTCCCGGGTTCAAGCAATTCTCCTGCCTCAGCCTCCTGAGTGGCTAGAATTACAGGCATGTGCCACCACGCCCGGCTAATTTTGTGCTTTTAGTAGAGACGGGGTTTCTCCACGTTGCTCAGGCTGGTCTCGAACTCCCGACCTCAGGTGATCTGCCCACCTCGGCCTCCCAAAGTGCTGGGCATGAGCCACTGCACCCAGCCTACATATGTATTTCTATATCCAATTATTTATGGCAAGTAATAGCAGTATTTAACAATTTCTGAGAAGAATTATCAGGATCAAAGATAGTCCACAAGTTTGAGGATTAAGTCACAGTTGGGAGTTACAGTTTGAATCTTGGTTCTGCCACAGCCTTGGAAAAATAAATTTTCTGAACCTCAGCTTTTCCTCTGTAATGCAAAGTGAGATGCTGACTTAAATTAATACCTGTTGGACCCACTCATTATGAATGCAAGGGTCAAATGCCAAAACTTGAAAGTAGCAAACACACAAAAACAAGTATCACAACAAAGATAATTGTTTTATCACCTGGCTTTATTAACTTGCCACAGGCCACTGAAGTAGCATCACTCCCTTAATACTTCAGTTTTATGTTATTTCTTTTTTTTTTTTTTTTTTTTTTTTTGTGAAGGAGTCACATTCGGTTGCCTAGACTGGAATGCAGTGGCGTGATCTTGGCTCACTGTAACCTCCGCCTCCCAGGTTCAAGTTTCTCCTGCCTCAGCCTCCCGAGTAGCTGGGATTACAGGCACGCACCACCATGCCCAGCTAATTTTTGTTAGACGGGGTTTCACCATGTTGGCCAGGATGGTCTCGAGTTCTTGACCTTGTGATCCACCTGTCTCGGCCTCCCAAAGTGTTGGGATCATAGGCGTGGGCCACCGAACCCAGCCTTATTTTTTCTTTATTAATTTTTTTTGAGACAGGGGCTTGCTCTGTTACCCAGGCTGGAGTGCAGTGGTGCAATCTCAGCTCACTGCGGCCTGAAACTCCCGGGCTCAAGCAATTTTTCCACCTCAGCCTCCTGAGTAGTTGTTAGTACAGGTGTGTACCACCATACCCAGCTAATTTGTGTGTATTTTGTAGAGACAGGGTTTCACCATGTCGCCTAGGCTGGTCTCAAAATTTCTGGACTCAAGCGATCATCCCACTTCAGCCTCCCAAAGTGTTGGAGTTACAGGCATGAGCCATGGGCCAGCCATAAATTACACTTAAAAAAGAAAAGAAAAGTATTGGCTCAGTGCAGTGGCTCACGCCTGTAATCCCAGCACTTTGGGAGGCCGAGCTGGGAGGATCACTTGAGGTCAGGAGTTTGAGACCAGCCTGGCCAACATGGTGAAACCCCATCTCTACTAAAAATACAAAAATTAGCTGGGCATCATGGCACATGCCTGTAATCCGAGCTACCCAGGAGGCTGAGGCAAGAGAATAGCTTGAACCCAGGAGGCAGAGGTTGCAGTGAGCCGAAATCGTGCCACTGCACTCTAGCCTGGGTGTCAGAGTGAGACTCTGTCTCAACAACAACAAAAATACAATTTACCATAACCTAGCTAAGTACCAGCTGTGTACACTAACTTATTTCTTTTCACAGAATCCTGTGTTTCAGGGTTACTGAAGTACAACATAACCGGAATCTATGATTCCATATAGATTTCCAGACCAGAAAATGCTTTATCCTTCCAAGCCACCTCCAGTAACTTATAATACTCATCTGGTAAAACCAGGTTGTTTTTGCAAGAAACTTCCCTGTAACATCCCAATAGTCACGACACTGTCAATTCCCCGGTTTTGTATTTTTTTATTTTTTATTTTTATTTATTTATTTTTTTTGAGACGGAGTCTCGCTCTGTCACCCAGGCTGGAGTGCAGTGGCCGGATCTCAGCTCACTGCAAGCTCCGCCTCCCGGGTTCACGCCATTCTCCTGCCTCAGCCTCCCCAGTAGCTGGGACTACAGGCGCCTGCCACCTTGCCCGGCTAAGTTTTTGTATTTTTAGTAGAGACGGGGTTTCACTGTGTTAGCCAGGATGGTCTCGATCTCCTGACCTCGTGATCCGCCCGTCTCGGCCTCTCAAAGTGCTAGGATTACAGGCTTGAGCCACTGCGCCCGGCCGGTTTTGTATTTTTAATAGGGATGAGGGTCGGGCGTGGTGGCTCACGTCTGTAATCCCAGCACTTTGGGAGGCTGAGGTGGGCAGATCACCTGAGGTCAGGAGTTTGAGACCAGCCTGACCATTGTGATGAAATCCCATCTCTACTAAAAAATACGAAAATTAGCCAGGCATGGTGGCATGAGCCTGTAATCCCAGCTACTCAGGAGGCTGAGACAGGAGAATTGCTTTAACCCAGGAAGCGGTGGTTGGGGTGAGCCGAGATCGTGCCATTGCACTCCAGCCTGGGCAACAAGAGCAAAACTCTGTCTCCAAAAAACCAGTCTCTATTATTTTTCCAATTTTCTTTAAGACTATATTTAGGCCGGGCGCGGTGGCTCAAGCCTGTAATCCCAGCACTTTGGGAGGCCGAGACGGGCGGATCACGAGGTCGGGAGATCGAGACCATCCTGGCTAACACGGTGAAACCCCGTCTCTACTAAAAAAATACAAAAAACTAGCCGGGCGAGGTGGTGGGCGCCTGTAGTCCCAGCTACTCGGGAGGCTGAGGCAGGAGAATGGCTTGAACCCGGGAGGCGGAGCTTGCAGTGAGCTGAGATCCGGCCACTGCACTCCAGCCTGGGCGACAGAGCGAGACTCCGTCTCAAAAAAAAAAAAAAAAAAAAAAAAGACTATATTTAAAAATAAAAACTTAAAAAAAATGAAAAGTGCCGGCGCGTGCTCACGCCTGTAGTCCCACACTTTGGAGCCGAGACGGCGGATCACGAGTTCAGGAGATCGAGACCATCCTGGCTAACACAATGAAACCCGTCTCTACTAAAAATACAAAAAAATTAGCCGGCGAGTGGCAGCGCCTGTAGTCCCAGCTACTTGGAGGCTGAGCAGGAGAATGCGTAAACCCGGAGGCGGAGCTTGCAGTGAGCCGGATAGCGCCACTGCACTCCAACTGGGCGACAGAGCGAGACTCCGTCTCAAAAAAAAAAAAATGAAAATGTTATTTTATTTATTTTTTTGAGACGGAGTCTCACTCTTGTCACCCAGGCTGGAGTGCAGTGGTGCAATCTCGGCTCACCGCAAGCTCTACCTCCCAGATTCACGCCATTCTCCTGCCTCAGCCTCCTGAGTAGCTGGGACTACAGGCGCCCACCACCATGCCCGGCTAATTTTTTGAATTTTTAGTAGAGACGGGGTTTCACCATGCTAGCCAGGATGGTCTCGATCTCCTGATGTCGTGATTCACCTGCCTAGGCCTCCCAAAGTGCTGGGATTACAGGCTTGAGCCACCGTGCCCAGCCACTTATTTTACTTTTTGAGACAAAGAGTTTCACTCTGTTGTCCAGGCTGGAGTGCAGTGGCACCATCATGGCTCAATGCAGCATTGAACTCCCAGGCTCAGGTGATCCTCCCACCTCAGCCTTCCAACTAGCTGGGACTACAGACGTGGTCCACTATGTCTGGCTAATTTTTCTATGTATATATATTTTCAATTCTCATTCAACACCTTTGGTAAATTTTTGTATTTTTTGTAGAGACGGGGTTTCACCATATTGCCCAGGCTGGTCCTAGGCTCAAGTGATTCGCCTGCTTTACCCTTCCAAATATTTTAGTTTTTGAGAAAGGTCTCACTATGTTGCCTAAACTGGTCTTGAACTCCTGATCTCAAGCAATCCTCCTACCTCAGCCTCCCAAAGAGCTGGGAATGGCAAAAATGTTACTTATCAAAATGAAAGGCCGGGTGTGGTGGTTCACTCCTATAATCTCAGCACTTTGGGAGTGCGAGGCAGGCGGATCACCTGAGGTCAGGAGTTCAAGAGCAGCCTGGCCAACACAGTGAAACCCCATCTCTACTAAAAATACAATTTGCCGGGCATGTGAGCACATGCCTGTAATCCCAGTTACTCTAGAGGCTGAGGCAGGAGAATCGCTTGAACCTGGGAGGCAGAGGTTGCAGTGAGCCGAGATGGCGCCACTGCACTCCAGCCGGGGAGACAGAGCAAGATCCTGTCTCAAAAAAACAAAAACAGGCCGGGCGCGGTGGCTCAAGCCTGTAATCCCAGCACTTTGGGAGGCCGAGACGGGCGGATCACGAGGTCAGGAGATCGAGACCATCCTGGCTAACACGGTGAAACCCCGTCTCTACTAAAAAATACAAAAAACTAGCCGGGCGAGGTGGCGGGCGCCTGTAGTCCCAGCTACTTGGGAGGCTGAGGCAGGAGAATGGTGTAAACCCGGGAGGCGGAGCTTGCAGTGAGCCGAGATCGGGCCACTGCACTCCAGCCTGGGTGACAGAGCCAGACTCCGTCTCAAAAAAAAAAAAAAAGGCCGGGCGCGGTGGCTCACGCCTGTAATCCCAGCACTTTGGAAGGCCGAGGCGGGCGGATCACAAGGTCAGGAGATCGAGACCATGGTGAAACCCCGTCTCTACTAAAAATAGAAAAAAAAATTAGCCGGGCGCAGTGGCGGGCGCCTGTAGTCCCAGCTACTCGGGAGGCTGAGGCCGGAGAATGGCGGGAACCCGGGAGGCGGAGCTTGCAGTGAGCCGAGATGGCGCCACTGCACTCCAGCCTGGGCGACAGAGCGAGACTCCGTCTCAAAAAAAAAAAAAAAGGAAAACAAAACAAAACGAAAGAGAACAGATCACAGAATAAAAACATTTCAGCTCAAATTTTATTTAGTTAATTATTATTCTTTTTTTGTAGCGTCGGAGTCTTGCTATGTTACTCGGGCTGGCCTCAAGCGATCCTCTTGCCTCAATTTGGAAAATGCTGGGATTACAGACGTGCATCACCACGCCAGGCCACAACCCAAACTTTAAAAAGAGAATCTAAGTGGTCTTAGAAGAGTTTGCAAGTCACCTGACCACTGTGGTACCTCCTTAAGGAGGGCCTCTGAGGCCCAATGAAAAAGGCTTATATAAAAGGCTCATGACCAGCTCTGCCAGTGATGAACATGTGTCAAGTCGTTCTGCTGTCCCAACTCCTGGACCAAGGTGGCTCGGAATTAGCTTCAGCTAATAAAGAACAAAGACGGGGGGCAGAAAGGCTCCCCAAACTTGCGCAAAACCAGTGAGAAAACACTTTGCACATCATCTGTCTCAGTTGTTCTGCAGGTGAGGCACACTCACAGCTGCACTACCCCAGGCAAGCAGTTTGCCAGGACTCGGGGGCCTCCGGGTTTCATCTCGGGGCCTCCGCCTGCACCAGCGAGTGGGCCTGGCTCAGGGCGAGCCTGTCCTTTTTTTCCTTCTGCAAGACCTGCTCCTCCCACAGCGCCTGGTCCACCTGATCGTCGGTGAGCACGACAGGCTTGTACTTCTCATCGAAGAGCCGCTCGTTGGTCTCGGAATGCAGCTGCTGGGGCCCGACCACCCGCAAATGCGCCGGCAGGTGCAGGAATTCGTCGTCGTTGATGTCGCAGTCGCGCATCCGGGCCCCCAGCACCCACCAGCGACCCACGAAGCCCACGTCCAGGACCCGGCCGGGGAAATCGGTCCAGCGGGGCTGCAGGTAGCGGCAGCGCGCCTGGTAGAGGCTGGCCTGGGCGTCGAAGGGCGCCTCGTACACCAGGGAGCAGAGCCCTAGGTTGACGTGGCGCAGGCGGCCACGGCCCCGCAGCCAGAGCAGCCGCTGCACGAAGGCTTCGGACTCGCGGTTGCGGGTGGCCGGCGCCAGCAGCAGGAGGGTCCCCGACGCCTCCAGCAGCGCCTCCTCGAAAGCACCCTCGCTAGGCGCCAGCGTGAAGCAGGCCGCCGCGCCGCCCAGCAGCCCCACATACACGGCCGCGCGCCCCGGCCGGGCACTAGCCTCCGCCGCCGCGTCCCTGCAGGCCTCGGCGTAGTCCCGGAGCAGCGCGCGGGCCCAGGACCCTGAGGGGAGAGAAGCGCGGTAAGAGTGATCTGGCAGCGGCGGCCACTCACCCTGCCGCCTTCCGCCGCTACTCACCCAGCCGCGCCCACACTCCCGGCTTCGCCGCTGCAGCGTCGCCCGCCTCTGCGCGGCGCCGGGACCAAAATCTCCTCAGAGCCGCCGCGGCCATCCTCTTCCGTCTTAGGGGTCCTTGCTCCGGAAAGAAACTCTTGATACCCGAAGTTAAAAGCCCGGGAGGCGCTTCTGCGCAAGCGCCAACTTTACCGGAAGTGGCTTCCCAGCGGGAAAGGATAGAAAGAGGACCGGCGCCGGATGTTGCTGTCCGGTCCGAGTCGGGTAGATTCTGACGGGTAGGCCAGCTGCGCAGTCGCAGAGAGCCCCAGCCACGCCGGCCCAGGTGGCCTCCGGTGAGGAGGGCGGAGCGCACCTGTGGCGACGGGGCGACGAGTTCAAGCTTCCGTGGGTGCAGCTGGCCGCCAGGTAGGGCTGGGGGCCGAGGGACCGGCGTGGGGGCGTGGGGGGAGCGTGCCTGACCGGTCTCTGTCCTCAGCGAGGGATGCGGAGACGCCCCTGAACGACCATGGCATCGGCTGACGAGCTGACCTTCCACGGTGAGTGCGGCCCCGACGAGGCCGGATCTCCTACTCCTGCCCCTTGCCAGAACCTACCCCCCATGCGGCTTCCAACTTCTCTACCCCGAACCCTAGGCGGCTGTGAACCCTGACCCAGGAGGGAGACCCATCCCTGACCCGAACCCCGCCCCCACCCTGAACTCAGACCTCAAACCCGAGCCTCATGTCTCCAGACCCTGACCCCATCCCAGGGCGAACCCTAAGTTGCAGTTCCACTTTAGGAGGAAGGGAACAGACGCCCTCCGGATGCCTCCAAACTGAGGAAGTTGGGCCCCCCACCTTGGGGGAGATCAGTGGCTTAGCAGAGCCTCCGCCCCCAGATGAGCATTGACTTGGCTGGAGCCCAGTCGAATTCTTTCCACCCCTCAAGCGTGCGTGTGTCCCATGTCCCTGCTCCACAGAATTCGAGGAGGCCACTAATCTTCTGGCTGAGACCCCAGATGCAGCCACAACCAGCAGAAGTGATCAGCTGACCCCACAAGGGCACGTGGCTGTGGCCGTGGGCTCAGGTGGCAGCTATGGAGCCGAGGATGAGGTGGAGGAGGAGAGTGACAAGGCCGCGGTGAGTCCCTGTGTCCTGCCTCTGTGCAGCTCCCAGCTGATCCACGCTGTCCGGGCAGGCGCTGAATGCCCGCAATGTGCAGCTCCTGCAGGAGAAGCAGCAGCAGCAGCCCGGATTCTGGACCTTCAGCTACTATCAGAGCTTCTTTGACGTGGACACCTCACAGGTCAGGCCTGGGGAGGCAGGTGAGGTGGGGCTCAGAGTTATGCTCAGGGTTCAGCCACACTTTCCCTGGGCAGGGTGCTGGTGATGGCGAGTGCGGGTGAAGGAACTGTGGTGCTCTCAAAGGGTTATGGTGGGACTGGTTATGGATCGGGACTGTAGGAACACAGGGGACACACACAATCTCGTGGGTTAGAGGAAGACCTCGTGGAGGACGTGAGGAATTGGCTGAAACCTAAAGGAGAAGGAACGCTTCCTGGGGAATGGGGGAGGGGAGCTGAAGTATGTTCCAGGCAAAGGGAACAGCATATGCAGAAGATCAAAGATGGGCTGGGGGCAGTAGCTCCCCGCCTGTAATTCCAGCACTTCGGGGGACTGAGGTGGGCAGATCACCTGAGCTCAGGAGTTCAAGACCAGCCTGGCTAACATGGTGAAACCCCATCTCTACTAAAAATACAACAAAATCAGCCAGGCTTGGTGTTGAGGCCCTGTAATCTCAGCTACTCTGGAGGCTGAGGCAGGAGAATCGCTTGAACCTGCGAGGCAGAGGTTGCAGTGAGCCGAGATCACGCCAGTGCACTCCAGCCTGGGCAAAAAGAGTGAGACTCTGTCTCAAAATAAATAAATAAATAAAATAAAAATACAAAAATTAGACCGGGCGTGGTGGCTCATACCTGTAATCCCAGCACTTTGAGAGGCCAAGGCAGGCAGATCACGAGGTCAAGAGATCGAGACCATCCTGGCTAACACGGTGAAACCCCGTCTCTACTAAAAATACAAACAAATTAGGGTGTGGGTGCAGGCGCCTGTAGTCCCAGCTACTTGGGAGGCTGAGGCAGGAGAATGGCGTGAACTCGGGAGGCGGAGCTTGCAGTGAGCCAAGATGGCGCCACTGCACTCCAGCCTGGGCGACAGAGTGAGACTCTGTCTCAAAAAACCAAACCAAACCAAAACAAAACAAAAATACTAAAATTAGCCAGGTGCAGTGGTTGGGCACCTGTAATCCTAGCACTTTGGGAGGCCGAAGTGGTGGATCACTTGAGGTCAGGAGTTGGAGACCAGCCTGGCCAACATGGTGAAACCCCATCTCTACTAAAAATACAAAAATTAGCCAGGCATGGTGGCGCATGGCCTGTAGTCCCAGCTACTCAGGAGGCTGAGGCATGAGAATCGCTTGAATCTGGGAGGCGGAGGTGGCAGTGAGCCAAGATCATGCCACCGCATTCCAGCTGGGAGGACAGAGTGACACTCCATCTCAAAAAGAAAAAGGGGGCTGGGGCTGGGCGCAGTGGCTCACGCCTGTAATCCCAGCACTTTGGGAGGCTGAGGTGGGCATATTACCTGAGGTCAGGAGTTTGAGACCAGCCTGGTCAACATGGCAAAACCCTGTCTCTACTAAAAACACAAAAATTAGTCGGGCGTGGTGGCACACGCCTGTAATTCCAGCTACCCAGGTGGCTGAGCCAGGAGAGTTGCTTGAGCCCAGGAGGCAGAGGTTGCAGTGAGCAGAGATCGTGTCACTGCACTCTATCCAGCCTGGCCGACAGAGTGAGACTCTGTCTAAAAAAAGAAAAAAAAAAGAGGGAAAGGCTGAGTTCTTTCAGGTGGGGCATGGAGACAGGAGGGTGGAGGTCAGCAGGGAAGGAGCCTCTCAGGACAAGGGAGAAGCTCCTGGCAGGCCTCCATCCTTGACCTCGGCCTTGCCCCCAGGTCCTGAACCGGATCAAAGGCTCACTGCTGCCCCGGCCTGGCCACAACTTTGTGCGGCACCATCTGCGGAATCGGCCAGATCTGTATGGTGAGTGAGGTACATTTGGTTCCTTGATGGATCACTCAACAAATGTGGCCTGAGTTGCAGACACCAGTGTACAGCTGAGGACAAATCAGTCACTCAGAGAGTGTGACTTACCTGCTGTTCAGGGAGACAGACATGAAGGACTGCAGAGGGTGGCGGGTAGAGAGCATATAGGAGGAGCGGCCTTGCTGTTTTGCAGGGTGCAGCAGGGCAGGCCTCCCTGAGCAGGGTGAGGGAATGAGCCTTGTTGGCAACGGGAGGGGTAGGGGAGACCTAGGAAAAGAGGGTTCCAGAAACAGCATAAGCTTCATGGCAGGAACTTGCATGAACTGCAGGGCGGCATTACCACTGGAGTAAATGAGCTGCAGGGAGGTCACAGGTGGGGGGACTCTGACTGTGCCCCCCATCCTCAGGCCCCTTCTGGATCTGTGCCACGTTGGCCTTCGTCTTGGCTGTCACTGGCAACCTGACGCTGGTGCTGGCCCAGAGGAGAGACCCCTCCATCCACTACAGCCCCCAGTTCCACAAGGGTAAGCAGGCGGGCAGGACCGATGCCTGGCAGGGCCCCGGGGGGCAGGGGGTGACTGCTCACCTTGCCCCCAGTGACCGTGGCAGGCATCAGCATCTACTGCTACGCGTGGCTGGTGCCCCTGGCCCTGTGGGGTTTTCTGCGGTGGCGCAAGGGTGTCCGGGAGCGCATGGGGCCCTACACCTTCCTGGAGACTGTGTGCGTCTACGGCTACTCCCTCTTTGTCTTCATCCCCATGGTGGTGAGTGTGGCCTGGCGCGGAGTGGGTGGCGGCTGTGTGGGGACACTGGCATGGTCACCTGCTGCCTCACTCCCATGGTGGTGAGGGTGGCCTGGTGCGGAGTGGGTGGTGGCTGTGGGGACTGGCATGGTCACCTGCCGCCGTGTTGCTCCCAGGTCCTGTGGCTCATCCCTGTGCCTTGGCTGCAGTGGCTTTTTGGGGCACTGGCCCTGGGCCTGTCGGCCACCGGGCTGGTATTCACCCTCTGGCCTGTGGTCCGTGAGGACACTAGGCTGGTGGCCATGGTGCTGCTGTCTGCGGTTGTGCTGCTCCATGCACTCCTGGCCGTGGGCTGTAAGGTACAGGTCTGGGGTGGCCACAGGTGTACCTCAGGTGGGGCTGAGGGGCTGGGGGGGGGTGTGCGCTGGCCCTGCCTCTGACCCCAGGGGTCTTGTGCAGTTGTACTTCTTCCAGTCGCTGCCTCCGGAGAAGGTGGCTCCTCCATCCCAAATCACATCTCTGCCCTCAAACATCCCGCTGCCCCCTACCCTGCCTCAGTCCATGGCCCCCTCCTAGAAAGGCCCGGGTCCCACAGGTAAGGACTGTTCCCAGCTGGGCTAAGGGGGCTGCCCTCCCACCCCCAGTCAAGGTAAGAGGTTCTGGGGACACTCCCAGACAATTCTTTCTTTCAGGCAACACCTAAGTGGACCAACCCCTCTGCCTGTCCTGCCCCCCAGATGATGACTGAAGGCTCCCTTGACACCTTGAGATGACTCTGCTACTTTCCAGACTTTTCTTACAAAGCAAACACTTTTATTTTCTATGCAAAGGTGATTCAGAGAATTTATATAAAGGCGGGAGAGGGGCAGCCGAGCAGGGAGCTTTGGGACAGGGCTGGGGCCCCCATATCCCCCTGGGCCACCTGCTTTCCCTCCCATGGCTCCCCTGGAACAGGAGAGCGAGCCAAGGGGGCGCCCCAGCCTGGACAGCACCCGCTCCTGCCTGGGTGCACATATGGCGGGCCTGGGTCCGGGCCTGAGCTCCAGCATCTGAGTTTGGGGGTGTCAGAAACAGGGGAGCAGAAGGAGAAGAAAACTGCCTGTGCTGTAACACGTTTCCTTGTTTATTTTTTCTTTCTTTTTCTTTTTTTTTTTTCTGGAGGGAGAGGTCCCTGCAAGGTCCCTTCCCAGGCAGGGGAGGGACGGAAATGCCGTCACAGTAGTAGGGACTGGAGCGTCTACAAGGATGGAGGGGAGCTACTCAGGCCTAACATTAGCTACAAGGAAAAAGGACGCCTTCCGTGACAGATCTTTGAGGTGTCTGTGTCTGCCCCAAGTGGCCGGCAGTGGCCTTCCCTCCGGGCCCAAGGCCTGCAGCCACCTGCTCTAACTCTGGGTGGGGGGAGCTGGGGGGACTGCAGGGGCTCGGGGACAGGACAGCAGCAAGAGGCAGGGGCCGAGGACGGAGGCCTTCCCGACAGTGGGGTGGGTTGTACATTCAAGTGTGAGGTGAACCCTTTGGTGGGGAGGGGGCCCCTGAAGCCTCAGCGGGGCCACCCCTCCCTGCGGCGCCTCTTGAGTCTAGGGGGAGGGGCTGCTGGCTCGGCCCGGCCGGCCTGGCTTCACAGAGGGTCTGCGGATTGACACTGGTTCTTTTCGTAAAAAAATAAAATTAAAAAAAGCAGCATGTCACGTCCGTTGTGACCAAGGCCTGGTCGTCGAAGGGGAGGCCCCGCCTGGCCAGGCTACCTTCCCACTGGAGACAGGCAGGGGAACAGGTGCTAAGGGACCTGGCAGGCAGGGCTGGCAGGCCCCATGGCGCCTGTTCCAACAGATGACAATCCCAGGTCAGGGTGGAGCGGGCAGGAGGGGGACGAGGGCTCCCACGACATGATTTTGTGTAAAATATGGCAGCGACACACGCTCAGGGCTAGGAGGTGGGGGTTAGGGTGGGGATGGCGGCAACATCGTGTAAAAAAGTGTCCCAGTTCCCATAGCAAAGAGGGCTGTGACCGGGTGTTCGGGCTTCTCCAGTACAAGGGGGAAAGCCGCCCGGCGGGGGGGCGGGCGGGGACATCATTTGGTTTCCTGGTGCTGTCAGTCCGCGGGGCAGGCCCCTAGCTCCCGTAGTGCATGGTGTTGGTCGGGATGGACATGGGCGACGCCATGGAGATGGCAGGGCCGCCCATGGTGAACTGGCTGTTGACTGCATAGTGGGCACTGGTGCCGCCACCACCGCTGCCCTGGGCGCCGGAGGACCCTGTGGGGCAGGCGATGGCAGTGAGGGGCTGCCCTGGCCCACCCAGCCCCCAGGCAGAGTCACAGAGAGAAAGGGCAGGCAAGAGGGCAGGCGGGCGGCCGGACAGAGGATGGCGACTCACACGCTAGCTCGGCCCCCACGGGCCCTGCCCCCGCCACCCTCATTACCTTGGACAATCCCCGTGCTCATTATGGAGCCCATCCGGGAGTGGGTGTGATTGACAATCCCCGTGTTGGCTGCGCAGCAAGAGGGAGGAAAGAAGGAAGGGAGACGGCGTCACCGCCCCCAGCCACCCAGCCCATGCGCAGCAGCAGGCTGCAGAGCGAGGCAGAGAGGACGGAGGGCCTCGGCCGAGAGCCCCCTGGAAGAGGAAAAGGCGAAAGGACCAAGCACAGGCCGACCCTGGTTGCCACAGGCCCTTCCCGGCCTCTGGGCAGTCCTGGGCATGGCTCTCTGCTGACCCTGGCCCTGGGGGACACTCACCTAAAGGAATCAGGTTGTTGTGGCCCACGCTGGAGCCACTGGCAATAACACTGCTCAGGTCGTAGGCGGTCGGCATCCCTGTGCCCAGAGAGGGGAGACGTCAGGGCTGGAGGCAGAGGGGCCAGGCCTGCAGTGAGGGCGGCCTCCCGGGTTGGCTGGGCATTGGGGCGTGCCCTGCTCACCTGCCACGGCCATCCCGCTGCTGAGGTTGTAGGTGCTGCCTGTGTTCCACATGTTTTCCGAGGGAGATGTGTAGTGGGAGCCGGGTGGGGGTGAGGGTGTCGTGCCCGTGTATCTGTGGCAGAGACAGAGCCATGGGCAGGGGCAAGGGGGCTGCAGGGCCGGGGCGCCCCCACCCCGTGCAGGTAGGGTGCCCCTCCTACCTGAAGAAGGGGTTTTTTAGATCCAGGAGGTTACTGGACTTAGAGCCGGTCTGGTCCACCTGGGCCACAATACTGATGTCGTAGCTCTGTCTGTGGAGAGGGTGCAGGCCGCGGCGTGAGTGGCTGGGAAGATGGACCCCTGCCCCCCACCACCAGCCCCAGGGAGCAGTCACACCTCTTGTTGGCAATAAGCAGACATGTCCCTGAGAGCGTGTCCCCTGCCTTGGCGAACAGTGGTGACTGGAACAGGCACCGCACCTGGTACCAGTGAGTCAGGGGCTCTGTCGGGGCTGTGGACAGCCACACGGTCATTCTGTGGAGCAGGGACAGGCACACACTTGACTGGGCCAGCGCCATCACTGGAGCCACCACCTTGTATGTCTTGAGTCCTCCCCAAGCACCTGCCCCCTCTGCCAGGGACCCCCGGGACGGGCTGGCCCCCAGGCATTCCCAGACACATACATGAGCAGGCATACATGTACACACGAGGGACCTGCAGCCACGAGATCCCTGCTCACCCTGACATGTGCCAAGAGACAGACACAGGCCCATGAGGGACAGACACTGGGAACACAGGACACACACACACCCCACCCACAACAGTCTCTTGCTCTGAGACAGGCTCTCACTCCCATTGGAAGGGATGGTGGAACCTGGAGCCACGTTCCACCCTCCCAGTCAGGTTGCAGCTGCAGGAAGCCCTGGGAGTGGGGAGGAGGCAGCACAGGCTGCTCTGCGGCACTCACATGGAGCCGATGAAAGCAACGTCAAACCAGAAAGCCAGGCCATGGACCAGCCCTGAATGCAGCATGTGGAATTTGAATGGGATTTCTATCCTGGAAGGCAAAGGGCAGTGGCTGCTGGGGAAGCCAGACAGGCGCTGCCAAGAGAGAAGAGGGGGTGCCAGGTGCAGAGGCCCGGGGCCCCCGCCCACCACCTGCCCTGGGACGGCAGGATGTCAATGGCCCTGACCTTCGGCCTGAGGCAGGCCTGGGAGGATGGAGTGTGGGTGCCGGTACCTGTGCAAATCTCCTTCTTTGGCTTCTAAGAAGTTCACCGTGTACTTGACAGACTTGGCCATCAGGATCCGGATGTCAAATGTGTCCTGGGAGAGACAACAGGTGTGACCTGGCATCTGGTGCCAAGGCCGACATGGAAGGGGAGAGCCCTGCCCCTCCCCCTAGGTCTGGCCACGGCTTCTAGGCTGTGCAGCTAAAACTAGCTTGCTCTTCTCAGACACGCTGCAAGAAGGGTGAACTGGCACAACGCCACCAAGGGCAATTAGGTGATAGCTCTCAAAATGACAAGTGTTTATCCACATAAAAGATTTGGCACTACAGGAATTTAACCTCCAGATACATGAATACATCAACAAACTTACATGTATAATTACAGATTGTCCGTGGTAGCGACACACTGGAAACCATCTAATTAAACCAATGATGGCTCACCCATCAAAGACCATGCAGACGTGAGAATGAAGAGGCTCTTTATGAACAGATGGGGAAAGATCTCCAAGCTAAATCATGAAGCAAGTTAACCGAAAAAAGCAAGTTAAAGAACTAAGTGCTAGGCGGATGTGGAATTGCATGCCTGTAACTCCAGCTACTCAGGAGGCTGAGGCAGGAGGATTGCTTAAGCCCAAGACTGAATCAAGCCTGGGAAACACAGGGAGACCCTGTCTCTTAAAAACATCATCAACAACACTGTTGCTGCTGTCCACTCCCAGCGATGTTTATATCTGACTAACACACCTGCCATGAACTATGTCAACCGGATAAAATATAAAAAAAGAATAAACCAGTTGTTGGAAGCACTGGTGACCAACCAGAGCAGCCAGGACTTTGGGGATCAAGCTCCTGGAAAGGAGGGAAGTGCCGTTTCTGGAGGGAGCCCTTTCTGGCCTCTGCCTTTCTCCATGGGGAGGGCAGAAAACGGCCACCTCGACCTTTCAGCAGCTTCCCTGGGTGGGGAAAGCAAAATGGGAGCTCTAGGTTACCAAGGCAGCTTGGACTCAAGGGGCTGTGATGTCAAAGCAAAGGGAAATAAGTGCAGGAGGGCAGGGTGGGTGGTGCACACTCAGTGCACTTGTGAAATTGGCCAACTCCTGAGCTTCAAGTGGGGCAGGGCATCAGAGGCTAAGACACCAAGCAGAAAGCTGCTAATAAGAGGCTTAAGGCCAGGTGCAGTGGCTTACGCCTATAATCCGAGCACTTTGGGAGGCCGAGGTGGGCGGATCACCTGAGGTCAGGAGTTCAAGACTAGCCTGGGTAACACAGTAAGGCCCCACGTCTACAAAAAAATAAATTGGCTGGGCATGGTGGCACACTCCTATAGTCCCAGCTACTTGGGAGGCTGAGGCAGGAGGATCACTTGTATCTGGGAGGTCGAGGATGAAATAAGCCATGAAGTGATTGAGCCACTGTACTCCAGCCTGGGGAACGGAGTGAGACCCTGTTTCAAAAAACAACAATAAAACCTAACGGGTGGTTCAGCAGCATATTGGTAATGAGGCTAACCACTGGGCTTGCATTAAGAGTACTGAGGGCTGTACCCTGAAGCAGCCACTTCTCAAACTGTGGTCCCTTCCAAGGCACCCTCATAATAATACAAAATTTTCATAATACCACCAAAATATTTCCTGCTTTTTTCACTCATTCACTCCCCAGTGATATCACAAAAGACTGAACACACTGGGCATGGTGGCTCATGCCTGTGATCCCAGCACTTTGGGAGGCTGAGGTGGGTGGATCACCTGAGGTTAGGAATTCAAGACCAGCCTGGCCAACATGGTCCAAACCCCATCTCTACTAAAATTACAAAAATTAGGCGGGTGTGGTGGTGCATGCCTGTAGTCCCAGCTACTCATGAGGCTTAAGCGAGAGAATTGCTTGAACCCTGGAGGCGGAGGTTGCAGTGAGCCAAGATTGCGCCACTGCACGCACCAGCCTGGGTGAAAGAGCTAGACTCTGTCTCAAAAAAAAAAAAAAAAAAATGGGGGGCAGGGCTGGGTGTGGTGGCTCACGTCTATAATCCCAGCATTTTGGGAGGCCAAGGCAGGCGGATCACCTAAGGTCAGGAGTTTCAGACCAGCCTGGCCAACATAGCAAAACCCCATCTCTACTAAAATTACAAAAAATTAGCTGGGAGTGGTGGCAAGTGCCTGTAATCCCAGCTACTCAAGAGGCTGAGAATTGCTTGAGCCCGGGAAGTGGAGGTTGCAGTGAGCTGAGATCATGCCACAGCACTCCAGCCTGGGCAACAGAGCAAGATTCCGTCTCAAAAAAAAAAAAAAAAAAAAAAAGGATGGAAAAGACAGAAAAGAGTATAAGAATCATCTGAGATATGGTGAAAAGTTCCACTGTACATATAATCGGAATCCCAGAAGGAGAAAGAGAATGGGGCAGAGGTAGTGTTTAAAGAGATATTATCCAAGATTGTCCAAGAGTTTCCCAAAACAAATGAAAAACATCAAAAGCAGGGGGAAAACAGAATAAACGGAACTTTTTTTTTTTATTTTGAGACAGAGTCTCACTCTGTTACCCAGGCTGGAGTGCA